TGTCCCCTTCACCACACCGCTCCGTGTGCAGTCGAAATGCCCCATGACAGTCGAATGGCATTGTTTTGCACGCGGAGCGGTGAGGTGAGGGGGACAGCAAAAACTAGACGCAAATGATTCGAAAATTAACCGAAAGTTGCACTGTCCCCCTCACCGCTTCACGTGCAGGCAAAATGCCTCATGACAGTCGAATGGTTTAAATATTCATCATACCAAGTTGCAGTCGGGAGTATTTAAAATTTCAAATATATATAAATATATATAAATATATGTAATGATATGAGATGAGGGGTACAGCGGAAAGCGGAGGCGATTCGAAAATCGGCCGAAGGTTACATACACTTTACGTATGTTCACTTTGTAATGGCAACTTTAATTGATAATCAGTTACTTTTCGTGGTAATATATTATTACAATTTAAATCCTGATAGTACTGCGATAGTTTTATATATACGTCATATCGGTCAGCAGTCGGTAGTGTGTATTTAAAATAATAATTTTATTTAATATGTATTTATGACTGCTCGGTTTATCGGTGAACCGGGTGAGGGTGGGGACGTGCGACTAGCGTCCGCCCTTCAAAATCAAAACAATCCCAAGACTGCTTTCACTAACCGTCTAATATTAACGCATTGATTTTAGAATAACATATTTATTCTTTATTATTCGTTAACGCGATTGCATATTACAAAACAAAATTCTTATATAAATGTAATAAATTATATCGCGTATCAATATTTTCATAGATTTATCCACGAGGATAAATGATACTTAATAACCGTCGTGTGTGCGTTCACGATCGCACTCAATACCAACTTAACCCGTTGACTTGTTGACATCGAGTAACCTCCGTGTCGAGTAACCTGTGTTGTGTATTTATGTATGTAGTATTACACACTTGAGTAATTTTAACTCGTCAAATAATTAATCGGTAGTATTTTATTGTGATTAACTGTAATAAGGATAATAAATTCGTAATTTTCCGTTCAAGTATAAATCCGTGACCGTATTGATTTGCGATGGAATTTGATCGTGATTAACATGTGCAATTAGTATTTCTTTCTTTGAGGTACTTCTCATTTCCCGAATAATTAATTGGCAGTGATTAATAACAGTGAGCTAATAGATTCGCTTATAACAAGGCTCGGCACGCGATGCAACTTTCGATCGACTTTCGAATCGGCCGAAAGTTGTATCGCTCTTGCCGAGCACTGATTTATAAAATTGAATAAACCGTTGAACGTATTGATACGTAATATAATTTACAAAAGAAAGAAGACTTTTGACAATTACTGTGTGCAATGTGTTTCCTTCTTTCAAGCAATAATTTTCAGTTACTGAATGATTAATCGAAAGTTATTCATCGATTTATATGTAAAAGATTCATATGTAAAAATCAACCAAGTGCGTGGATAAATCCGTGAAAGTAATATAATACGCAGTACAATTTATAAAAGGAGGAAAATCTTTGATTATTGATTATATCCTCGACGGCGAACACCTAGACACTTATTTCGTCGACGGCGAACACCTAGACATCCATATCCTCGACGGCGAACACCTAGACACTCACTTCCTCGAAATCAAACACGTAAACACTTACTTCCTCGACGACGAATATATAGACAACATCTAGATACTTAATTCCTCGTTAGTGAATACTTGGACACATAGTTTCTCTATATTTCGATATTTCACTATATATATATATATGGGTCGTTCCACGTCAAGTGAGCCACCTGTCTGCCCAGAACAGGTTTTGATTAAAAAATCGTAGTATGGGTGGAAAATTTTTCCTAAAAAAATACCTTCAGAATTCCGTATGCCAAGAAATGAAAAACAAAATGGCGGACCCAATATGGCGGATTAACTTTGAAAAAACGTTCGATCTTAGTTGAAACTCGTTACCCGGGAGTTTTTGGGGTCGCTGGATATGAATTTGTAGTCAAATTTTCAAAATTCAAAATGGCGGATCCAACATGGCGGATCAATTCTAAAAAAACGACCAGTTTTAGTTGAAACACATACATTGGGAGTTTTTGGGGTCGCTGCATGCAAATTTGTAGTCAAATTCTCAAAATTCAAAATGGCAGATCTAGCATTGATTAGTAACCTTCCATTCACTTTCAGGAATTTGAAATAGCAGATTTAATATAACCCATTTTTTGAATTTTGTATTTCTATGTGTTCAATCGATGATTCGATTTTGAATCGTCTTTAGCCATTATTTGAAATGTTTCCCGATTCTCACCACACGGGGAGGTAGACGATTGTTGAGAATCATGTTTTTTTTTTATTCTTTTTTTTTATTTTTTTTTTGTATTTTCGTATTTTTGTGTTTTATCATATCTACTATTTATGAGCCTACAAAAATTGTTCGTCCTCTTACTAAATTTTTTGACATTAGTTTAGATAATTTTCACAATTTTTTAAATAGTTAGCGCTTGTTTTAGAACCGTTCGCGATTCCATTGAAATGTTTTAGCTGAAGAATAATTTGGTGAAAACAGAGTTCCTTCCTCTGCAAAAGAGTATCGTTTTATTATGAGTTTTCCATTTGGTGTCGGGATGAATGCATGGCTTTGTTGGATATTTGGGACTGGCTAGGCCGCGGAAAATCTTTTATTTAGTAATCTTTTGGCTTTTGCATGTTCGTTAGCTGTGTAAAAGAAAATCATAATATTAGGAAATTCATCCTTAGCCCACCGGTATAAGGTATTAGGAGTCAGAAGAGAGTTGCTTCGGTTGATGGAGCTTGTAAACTAGCACGAACTGCTTTCTGTTTAAATGCTGCACCAATACCATCACAAGCGCCTTTTCCATGTGCAGTTGCGTGAAAGTGCCATTCTGCCGGTATTTTAAAGTCTGCTTCATGATGTAATAAATTACAGATCTGAAAACGATTTTTGTAGTGCTGCTTTGCACCATCAGTGAAATAAATTATTTTTTTCATATCGCACACAGATTGCATGTATTGAATGCACAGTTTTTGAATGACATGCACTGCTACAGTGTCATGAGATAAGCAATCTGATAAAAAAATTAGGCTTTTATGAAATATTTCCTTACCTTTGCGATAATAAAATACTACTGGATGTAATGTACACTGATTATTATTAAAATGAAAAGCTTGTACTGCATTTTGTACAACAAAAGCATAATTTTCAGAAAAATCCATGCGACCCCAAAAACTCCCAATGTATGTGTTTCAACTAAAACTGGTCGTTTTTTCAGAATTGATCCGCCATGTTGGATCCGCCATTTTGAATTTTGAAAATTTGACTACAAATTCATATCCAGCGACCCCAAAAACTCCCGGGTAACGAGTTTCAACTAAGATCGAACGTTTTTTCAAAGTTAATCCGCCATATTGGGTC